CATAGCAGGAGAGGTGGGTGCAAGAGGGGTGGTTCCCGTCACCATTGCCTCCTGCCCTTACCTCACCAGGCACAGACCCTGCACTCTCTAGAAGTTCCCCACCACCCTACTGCTCCTGGTCATCACTGTGGCAGGGAAGAAAGGGCACATCCCCACACGGCTCTCCCGGGGTGCCCTCTGAATTCGTGGGAAGGAGGCCCCTTCCCTCATTTCTTCTAATGGAACCGTTTGATTTAAGTTGGTTTTCTCACACCTTTGTGGAAATGTTTTGGTTTGGGAGGGGAGCAGTTTCTGTCTCACGTACTGTTGTCCTAACCCTTGAGCCAGCCCCACATGCTCAGAGCTGGCCCCCCAGAGCCCCCTCGGAGGGGAGACAGCTCGAAAGCCATTAACCTCATTTGAACTGAGTTCCTTTCCAGTATGATTCCCTGTTACTGCTCTTGGTAGTAAATAAAAATGCTTTCATTTCTTTTGTGCTCACAGGGAAAATAAGTAACAAATTCAGAACTCCTTTTGGCACGCATTAAAATTATTTTGCGATTCAGCCTTTCTCTCTTTGCTGTTTTGCTGCTCCCTCTATGAGCCACCTGGAAGCCTTCCTGGGAGAAGGGAAAATACACGTCCGATATTTCCTAGCATCTCCCTCCACTCCAGCACAGCCCAGTGAGACTTGGTAATGCTTACACTCACACTTCCCTTCAGCCCTTGGGCCTTGTCATTGAAGCTCCTGGTGATAAAATGGTCTTCTGAATTCTTCTGGTTATTTCTACCTACCCAGCCAGGATGTCTTTTAAAAAACACATGTATCAAAAAAGCATAGGTATTTATTTTAATTTACATAAAGGCCCAGGTCAACGTGTCTACCAAGGTGGGATGTGATTTGCTGCCTAGTTTGGCCATTCCAGCAGCTCTGATTCACAGAAAAATCTGAATTCTAGATTTATGCAGGTCATGTCACAGTGGCTGAGGGGTTTGGGCTGAAACAGTAGTTTATCTGGGTCCTATGCTCTGGCAGGTGTTTTTGGGCCGGGGACTCTCTGACTTTTCTCATTGTGCTGATGTGGATGTGGTTCTGGAACACATGTCCAAAGTCATGACATCTTAGTAAAAGGTTTCCTTCTTTGCCCCCAGAACTAGATTTTCATTTATCAACTACTCTCATCTAGTTTTATGGGATTAGCCAAAATTTAGTTGTGTAGAGCGTTAAGCCTCAGTGCCCTGTTTCTGTCTCACCCAGAGCACAAATAAGTAGTTTATTGGTGATGAGTCAGGAATGTTTTCCTGCATCCTTTTTTTTTTGGTGGGGGAGTCACAGGATCTTAATTCCCCGACCAGGGATCAAACCTGGCCCCTGGCAGTGGAAGCTCGGAGTCCTAACCACTGGACTGCCAGGAAATTCCCTCCTCTATCCTTTTCTTAACTGTTTAATATGCAGAATTCCATATAGCAAAGTAGAAGAATTATTGAACATCTAAGTACCCACCTTCTAGACACAACAGTTTTTACATATACACTTTCTAATTTTGTGCTGAAATTCACTTGTGTCACTTCAGGGTCAGATAGGATTCATCATTTTGGTTTGTTTCATTACAGATTATTGTAATCAGTGTCAGTAAAAGTTTGATAGTCACTCAGCAACTGTTTGCTAATAACTGAGCATGTTGTGAGGCCATGGGAAGAATATAAAAACAGCTGGGTACTGAAAGGCACACATGAAACTATAATCCGTGCCTGCCCTCATGGGGTTTACAGTGTCCATGGAGCTCAGACAGCTTCACAGGAACATATGACAAAGAGTATAAGTTAGTTTAGAGACAGAAAAGATTATTCCTGCCAAAGGGGACCAAGAAGGAATTCTGCACAAGAGCTAGATGTTGAACTGGTGCTCCCGGAACATGTGGTTTAGGTGAGCCAACACAGGCTGAGATGCCCACCTGGCTGGAGGGAGCAGGTGACACGGCTGCCTCCTCAGGCCGGGCACAGGCTCCATGCCCCTGAGTGCCCCATGTCCTCAGCCCCCACTTCCACACAGACCCCGTCTCTCTTGGGGCCAGCCCTGCTCTGGTAGCATGGGTAATGCGCAGCCCCTCTGTCAGTGTCAGATTAATGCACATTGCCTCAATGAGAATGAATTTGAAAACATCGCATTATGTGTTGGCTTTCTCTAGTCTCCTTTGTGACACAGTTTTATTTTACAAATAGCATTCTGGACCTTATGGAAGAAACACAGGGAGAGACCACTTTGCTGGACCCTAACCTGCCACCTCAGGGCAGGGTCCTAAAATTGTCCTGCAGTGGAATAGGGTTGCTATCCTTGTATTAGTTTACTTACAGTTGGAAAAAATTGGGGGAATCTGGAAGAACTTTGTTCTGAGTTTCATCATCCTGAAGCTTCTGTGTTTGTGCCCCCAACGCTCTCAGAACACACGATGCAGTATTTCACCAGGATTTTCTACTGTCAGAAATTGCATTATTAGCACGTATTTAATTAGGTGAAACCAAATGTCATATCTCAAACATGGAGGAACTAATGCTCTGCGAGGTGAGCCACATTTTCCTGTAGTTTCCTCCCGTGTAGCTCTTCATTTTCCTCTGAAAGGTCAGGACGCCTCTTTTTTTTTTTTTTTGTGGTACGCGAGCCTCTCACTGTTCTGGCCTCTCGCATTGTGGAGCACAGGCTCCGGACATGCAGGCTCAGCGGCCATGGCTCACGGGCCCAGCCGCTCCACGGCATGTGGGATCTTCCCAGACCGGGGCACGAACCCGTGTCCCCTGCATCGGCAGGCGGACTCGCAACCACTGCACCACCAGGGAAGCCCCAGGACGCCTCTCTTAAACATAGGCCGCAGGTCATCCTCAGGCCTCTGTGTCTGCTTTCCATCTCTGCTCCCTCCACCTCCCTGCTCTTCTTTTGAAACAGCTTCAGCGGATGCTTCCTGAGCAGCACCCATCACTGTGTGCTGAGCCCTGCGCCAGGTGGCAGGCCCACAGCGGGAGCCATGATGCTTCAAACAGTTTCCTCGCCGTTCATGTTTCTTGTTCTCACCACTGTTTTCTTCAGGTGATATCATGGCACTGGGTTGGGTTTTTTTTGTTTTAAATTTAACATTTTAAACAAAGTTTGAGAACTTTATCAAAATAACAAACATACACATTATGTTTTGAAAGTCAGAACATAATCCCTACCTAGAGGTAAACCCTTTTAGCTGTGTTTTTTGGGCAGATATGCCCATATTGTAGAACAATATGTGTATGCTGCTTTTTACTGATTTATCAACTTGGGGTGTTTTTATTGACTTCCTGGTTTGGCTTTAGTGCTTTTATACACATCACTTCCACGCGACCATCTAGTATGGTTATAAATTTACACTTTCAGTTCTTTTTTATTGGGAATTTACCATTGAAAGTTCTTTGAAAGCAAACAAAAGGAAATGAATATAAAGTGGAGAGACTCTTCTGATGACCACGTGTACCCCTCACCCAGCCTCAGCGTCCTCACCACACTCTTGAAGTTTGCACAGTTTCTAATGAAATGAAATCAGTGTTCGTAACGTTATGACTGTGTGAACACTGTTCTCCAAAAAGCCAGGAAACGTGTTTGGACCTAATTCTGGACTCTGTAGTAGCTCCCTGGTCTGCTGGTCTCTCTGGGCCTCGACCCTCACCTTTTACTTAGAGAGGCCCAGAGGAGGTTGGAGTGTCGGGGGGCAGGACCCCTCATAGCTCTCCTTTCAGTGTTTTCCTGGCTGTTCTGGCATATTTATTTTCCACGTGAACTTCAGTAGCAGCTTGTCAAGCTCCGCAAAATAGCTGCTTGTTATATTTATTGGGAACGTGTGAACTCTTCACCTGGGGAGAACTGATGTCTTAAGAATGTGGGTGCATCCTACCCAGGCAGGGAGCATCTCCCATTTGTTCAAGCCTCCTTCTGTTTCCCAGGAGAGTTTTACAAAATTTCCTTGTCAGGGTTTTGTATATTTCTTGTTAAGTTCAATCTTCTTTGTTGCTTTAGAAGTGGGGGTTCCTTATGATTTTAACCATCTATCGTTTATGTATATATATATAAAGGCTGTTGATTCCTGTGTGTTTACTTTAGGTCCTGCTAATTCAGTGTGAATCCTTTATGTTCATCAGCAAGGGTCCAGGCAGGAGTAGTGGGAGGGGGTAAGCAGGGCGAATATGACTAAGCAAGAGAGGGGCAGTTTGCTTCCTTACTTTGTTGTCTTTTTGAAACTATTCTCCCTTGCTACCATATATATTATAGCTTCCTGTGTTTAAGCAAATTCTCTTCCATGTTCCAGACAGTTTTTCCAAACAGATTCAATGCTTCTAAGAAATACTTTTGATATCACAGGGATGCTACCTTTTACTAGTGTTACTATGTGGCAGGCATTACTTATTAATCTCATGAGATCTTCACAGTAGTTCTCAATAAATATTTGTTGAGTAAATGAATGTTTACAACCACCCTGTGAAGTAGTCATCATCCCAGTTTATAGATAGAGAAATTTGAGGTCACTTGTGCAGGGTCCATTAAATGCAGACTTGGAGTAAAGGATGGAGTTGTTTTGTTTTGTTTTTTTAATTTATTAATTTATTTTTGGCTGCGTTGGGTCTTCGTTGCTGTGCACAGGCTTTCTCTAGTTGCAGTGAGCAGGGCTACTCTTCGTTGCGGTGTGCGGGCTTCTCATTGCAGTGGCTTCTCTTGGTGTGGAATGCGGGCTCTAGGCATGTGGGCTTCAGTAGTTGTGGCACGTGGGCTCAGTAGTTGTGGCTCATGGCCTCTAGAGCACAGGCTCAGCAGTTGTGGCACACGGGCTTAGTTGCTCCGCAGCATGTGAGATCTTCCCGGACCAGGGCTCAAACCTGTGTCCCCTGCATTGGCAGGCAGATTCCTAACCACTGTGCCATCAGGGAAGCCCCAGGATGGAGTTTTAATTCTAGGTATTCCCATGAATCCATGATAAGTTTCTTAATTTTTTCTCCTGCAACAGGCGCGGTACAAGCAGAGCCTCGATCCAACTGTGGATGAAGTGAAGAAGCTTTGCACGTCTTTACGTCGAAATGCCAAGGAGGAGCGGGTCCTCTTCCACTACAATGGGCATGGGGTGCCCAGGCCCACTGTGAACGGCGAGATTTGGGTCTTCAACAAGGTGGGCATGCCATAAAAGGTTCCTGTGAACCGAATTCGTTTCTCTTTTTACAAGAAAATCTGTAAGTTTTGCTGGTTGGCCACAGGTCCTATTCCCCTGTAGCTTCTGTGGAACCATTGATGGCTAATCCGTTTCCACAAACCCAAATGCAGGAAGGTTGAATAGGGACTTGGGCCAGTTATCTGGTGGAAGTTTGGGGATTCTTTCTTTCTTTCTTTATTTGGCCTTGCATGTGGGATCTTAGTTCCCTGACCAGGGATTGAACCTGTGCCCCCTGCAGTAGAAGCACGGAGTCTTAACCACTGGACTGCCAGGGAAGTCCTGGGGATCTTTTGTATTTCAGTGATAAAAGTTGAAAAATAATCAGGCACAGGGAGTTGTTTCTTTTGCGAAACATGTTAATGAAGTGGCTATCTAGGGAAGTCATGAGGTCTGGGGATCTTCCTTTGAGAATCACTCATGTTCCTAGAAGATAAAATGGTATAAGTATTCCAAAGAGCTAATACGAAGCAAGTCTGCAGACAGGGCTTCAGCTCTGCTCTCTCCAAGGTCAGTGTAGCCAGCCTCCTACAGCCCCTTAATCAAAAGACTGTAGATGAGGGACTTCCCTGGTGGTCCAGTGGCTAAGACTCCATGCTCCCAATGCAGGGGGCCCAGATTCAATCCCTGGTCAGGGAACTATCCCAGGTGCCGCAACTAAGAGTTCGCGTGCCGCAACTAAGAGTTCACATGCCGCAACTAAGGATCCCGCATGCAGCAATGAAGATCCCTTGTGCTGCAGCTAAGACCTGGCAGAGCCAAATAAATAAATTAAAAAAAAATTTTTTTTTTTTAAAAAGGGACTTCCCTGGTGGTCC